ACTGAATAATTTGAGAAGGCCCCTCCGTTTTGGATGCAGAGATAGGAATATTCAGAGTTTTAAAGCTCAAGATCATGCTTGACAGACTTGCCCGGCAAAGTGAATCCAGCGGAGGGGTAGGACAGGGTGGTTCCACTATGAGGAAATCATCCAAGATGTGGCAGACAAAGGAAATGGAACATTCGTCGAGTAAAATCCACTCAATGGCATCGGACAATTCGTTAAAATGCATGGGGTAGTGCGAAGCCCAAATGGGAGCACCTTGTCGAAATAATACTTGTTCAAGTAATGCTTCTTGGTTAATTTCTTTACAGGTTTTAGATGTGTGTCGATTAAATGATAAGCATTTTATGGAAGCTCAAATTTGTCTATTAACCGTGTAGTAGTCACAGGCCAATTTCGGTTTGCTTATACTGTTGAATGGGTAAGTGGTAAAAATCGTGAGGATTGCTCGCTTGTGATTTGACAATGGTGATTTTTGGACGAGGTACCACTTGCATACCAGTTGCATTTCGCGCTGTTAAATTTCTTAATTGAACTCTAGATTAAAAATACTTTAACTGCACACATTTCAAGAACCATTGCTCTTTCATTTGGCTTTTTTTACAATACCGCACCATGTAGCAAGTTGCTTTTTTCTGCTCTCAATTTGGCCATTTCTTGTGACGCTGTGATCGCTAAAATGATATTTATTTAGAAACACTTCTAATATCGTGGTTAAGAGAAACGAACACTGTGTCACAACGCTTATCATGCCCCGATGGTCCCGACAAAAATAAAARAAATAAAAAACAGAGAAGAAAATAATTGGGACGTCGACGATACAGCTCAATGGTTCTTCTGACGGTTTGACGCAGACTTTAAATCTACTCGGTCTTTCAACAACCTGAGGAAGACTTTTGAAGGGGAAAATTGCAGCAAATATAATTTTGCTCGAAATGCTTCGAATAAAGCAATTGTTTCATCGGGCCCAGATACGAATTTGTAGCTTAAGTGAACTTGACCTACAAATTTGTGAAAAGTGAAAAGAAGGCTGTGGTGAGTTACGGGCTGACTAACCGAGTGACTTATTTCTGTTTTAAAACTTCCACCATTTATGATGCACTTTACAGTTTAAAAAAAAAACTAAAGTAAAAAGCATGGGACGGAAAACAGTTGAATTATTAATTACATTTACCACAATCCACACAAGCCAGTACTCTATGATTTAGAAAATTACACAAAACTTGGCTTCGACGTTGATATTCTCATGTTAAAGGATGCCGCCCGTGTACAGCGCCTTTGGGGAACTAGCCCAGCGAGGGAGGTACTGTACGGGTCCGCAAATGATCCCAGGACCGCAAACGATCCCCAAATTGAACCGCAAATGATCCCGGACCGGAAATGATCCCCACATTGGACCGC